ATGCAGAGATGCTTCACTATGATTTGGACAAGTTGAGCAAATGCGCAAATGCATGGCAGATGAAGTATAATCTGGATAAATGTGAGGTCACCCAGTTTGATAGCAAGGACAGGAAGGGAGATTATAATCTGAATGGCGATAGATAGGGAAAGGGGGAAGAGCAATGAGACTCTGGTGTCCTTGTACACCAGTCGCTGAAAGTAAGCCTGCAAGTACAGCAGATGGTGAAGTGATATGTTGGCATTCATAGCAAGGGGATTCAAATACAGGAACAATGATGTTTTGCTGCAATTGTGCAGTATCTTGGTGATACCACATATGGAATATTGTGTGCAGTTTTGATCTCCTTACTTGAGGAAGGATGTTCTGGCTATGGAGAAATTCAACTATGGTTCACCAGACTGAATCCTGGCATGGCACAGCTGATGTATAAAGAGATGCTGATGGGTTAGGACTACATTTGCTGAAATTTAGAAGAACGAGGCAGATTCGCATAGAATCCTATAAAAGTTTAAAGGACTAGATGAGGTAATACAGGAAGGATGTTCCAAATGGCTAAGGAGTCCAGAACCAGGGGCCACTGTCTCAGAATGTGGGGTAAGTTATTTGGACAGAGATGGAAGGAAATTTCTTCACTAGGGAGTGGTCAGCCTGTGAAGTTCTCTGCCACAGAAAGTGGTTGAGGCTAAAACATTGAATGTTTTCAAGAAGGAGTTAGAACTTCAATAGTTCTTAGGGTTAAAGAAATCAGAGGGTATGGGAAGAAAGTAGGAACCGGGTACTGAATTGGATTAATCAGGCGCAATCATATTGTTTGAAAGTTGCATCACAGGTGGACAGGGTGGTGAAGAAGGTGTTTAGCATGCTTGTCTTTATTGCTCAGACCATTGAGTCTAGGAGTTGGGACATTTGCGAGGCCTCTTTTGGAGTACAGTGTACAGTACTGGTTGCTCTGCTATATGAAGGATACTATTAAATTGAAGAGGGTTCAGGACTAAAGGGTTTGAGTTATAAGGAGGGGTTGGATAGGCTGGGACATTTTTCACTGGAGCATAGGAGGTTGAGCGATGACCTTATAGAGGTTTATAAAATCATGAGGGGCACATATAAATTGAACTGCAACCCCTAAGGTGGGGGAGTTCAAAACTAGGCGGCATATTTTTAAGGTGAGAGGAGAAAGGGACATGAGGGGCAATAGTTTCACACAGAATAAACTGCCAGAAGACGTGGTAGATGCAGGTACAGTTACAACATTTTGAAAACATTTGGATAGGTGCAGGAATAGGAAAGGTTTAGAGGGTTAATTGGCAAGTTCTCCCTCTTTCCACACTAGGATTCTATGATTAAGGTGCAAGGAATCACAGAGGATTCCAGAAAGAAGAAAACTACAAGTCAACTGATCAAATGACAAATAGCTGTTCTTAAGGATTGTGAACTAAATGAGAAAGCTGATTCCTAACCTAAATAGTCTCACTTATCCAATAAGAGGGCTTTTAAAGAAAAAACAACCATGGCATTGGCGTCAGTAACAGACTGCAGCTTTTCAGATGATTAAGGAGAAACTTTTCTCTGCAGGTGCATCAACCATCTGACCCTTCTTCAGAAATGGGGGAGGGGGAAGGGAACTCTGAAATAAGTAGAGAGAGGAAGGGTGGGGCTGGGGAAGGTAGGTGGGATGGTGATAGGTGAGTGCAGGAAGGCAGTGGTAGGGATTGGTCAGTGAGGTGGGAGGAGCGGATAGGTGGGAGAGAAGATGGACAGGTCGTGTCAGGTCAAGCAGGCAGGGATGAGAGGGAGGGTTGGTCATGGGATGAGGCCAGAGGTTGGGGAGATTTGAAACTGGTAAATCCAATGGTCTCAATGTGGACTTTACCAGTTTCAAAACTTGTCTAAATTAATTGGCCAAATTCAAACTTGTCTTGGAAAAAAATGTTGCTTGGCACTTCAAAACAAAATGTTTCCATTCGGGCACTCTCTGTGCACCTGCATTTATAAACTTCCAAGCACAAACAAAACACAAGCTCCTAAAGGGACCGTGGCACTTTTTTTCCCACAATTATTTTTACCAACAAATTCTAACTTCCTGCCTTCCAATTCATGTACACTCTACCCAACTTCATAACAGGATGAGATAGTAGGAACTGCCGATGCTGGAGTCTGAGATCACAAGGTGTAGGGGTGGATGAACACAGCAGGCCAGGCAGCATCAGAGGAACAGGAAAGCTGACGCTTCAGGTCTGGACCCTTCCTCTGAGGAATGGTTGGCCTGCTGTGTTCATCCAGCTCTATACCTTGTTTACTCATAACAGGATGAACTGGTTGTTGAAGATGAAGACGTTTTGGTTGAGGATGCAGTGGATGTGTTATAGGATGGCATCTGGAAATTAGCAGTTGTTGGTGTTGAGTACAGCAAATGGAATACTCCAGAGAAACGGGAAAGCACTAATCTTACTTGAGCCGAGAAACAAGACAGAGGGCCTCTCAAAAATGTGAAATCAACTACCTAAGGGGACAAGGGCAGTAGATAAAATGACCTGCAAGTTCTGCTCCAAGCAACTCAGCATTCTGATTTAGAAATATATTGCCATTCCTTCACCGTTACTGAATCAAAATTCTGGAATTCCTTCCTTCATGGCATTGTGGGTCTACCTACAGCATATGGACTACAGTGGTTCAAAATGGCAGCATGTCACCACTTTCTCCATGGCAATTAGGGAAGGACAATAAATCCTGCCCCAGCTAGTGGTGCCACATCTCATGAACAAAAGATGTAAAAAAGGTCCATGGACACTATGTGCCCTGTTTGAAGAGTTAAGCAGAAAACTGTGTTAATGTTGATATCTCCTCATTGGACCTGCCCATTCTCATTGCACAGTCTAAGTTTTGGTTCCTGCCGGAAAGAGTTCCACAAACTGCTACGAAATTGCACATGAAGTTGACAGGTACAACCTAAGTGAGAGATTGTAGCTAGGGTGGCTTACAATCCTGAGTTCATTGTTGAGGAAGCTGTCAAAGTAATTATGAACATATTGGGTCGCTTGAACAATCTCCGGCTAAATAATTTGACTGACAATAACTCAGTCAAGATAATGCATG